ATGTAAGGCCTTCATGGTTGCTGTGGTGGTTCTAGGGGAACCACCAAACCCTCCCCACTCCATTCACCTTCCATTCTTTGCTTACTTGAAGGACTAAGGTCATCAACATCATGTGCTTCTGCCTTTCTTTTAGCTCTTCTGTCAGATGTGGAACCAGGCTCCCTTATAGCCAGAGGAACAGCTCGCCCACCCAGAGGATGTTCAGTAGACTGTTGAAGAAAAGAAAGAGCTTGGGGTCCTTCTAACTGAGCCACATCCTCATTATTAATCTCCCCTACATGAACTTCATGTTGGAGATGCATCAAATCATCCGCCTCATACATTTCCTGATTCATATTAGCTTGCTCGTGCATCTCCATTTCAACATTTTCATCATCTTGGAGATTTACTTGAACATCCTCCTGATGGTGAACATTCACTGGTCCAGGAAACTCAACAATAGGCAACATCGGCTAGATAACAATCTCCTGACATACGATGTTTTCATGCCTCAGAAAACCACATCTTCTACAGAACTTCCTGAGCTTATCATACTCAAATCTAATAAGGACTGGATCCTCCCCTTCATTAAGCTCCACATAGCGATTAAAGATAAGCTTTGCATCAATGTCCGTCCTAACACGAACTCTGACATCAGCAGGGACTTCTCCATTAGGCTCCCTAATTCTGACTTCTCCAACAACACCTAATGAATTCCCAATATCTCTAACAGTTTGGACATTTCGATGCTCATTTGGTAGGTTATAGATTCTAACCTAGAAAGAAACGATGCGCATAAAGTCTGGTTGATCCCTATTAACCCACTTGTCAACAACAACCAGCCATTCTTTAAAAGTCCAAGGACCATTCTCCAGAACAGTTAGCATATGATGTTTCTCATTAAGAAAAGAACTGAACTGAGCCATCATCATTTACCTGCCCTAAAACTCGACCCTCCATCTTCCATGCGACAGGGAGTGTACTCTTCATCGGCTTGAGATTTTGATGACTAGGGTTGAGACCCTTGACAATAAGGGTAAGCCGACTGTTCCTGGCTGTTCGACTTCTGGTTTCTGGCTGAAGTTGTAGTGGAGCTTGATCAGAACCCAAGGTAAGCTGTTGCAGAGATCTCCAGATTTCTTGATCCATTTACAACAAAATCAAGTCAC